TCACAACTTCCAAAAGTGGTCCGGAGCTGAGGTGTTTTGTACATTTTGACTTGGAAATGTGCTTCGCGCCACAACGGCGTGCACTTTTTTGACATCTCAACTTCCAAAAGTGGTCCGACGCTGAGGTGTTTTGTACATTTTGACTTTGAAATGTGCTTCGCGCCACAACGGCGTGCAATTTTTCATCTCTCATCTGGCCAGCTGACTCCGCACCCGCCGCTTTAGCGAGCCTACTTTTCGACCCTCCGGAGCCCCAAATCATTGGAAAAACACAGTGTTTCCCGACTTTCCTACCTTTTCGCGCATCTGCATCTTCTTTCTTCTGACTCTTTCTCTTCTACTCTTCTCTCTTCTAATCTTTCTCTTCTCTCTGCCTCTGCCCTGCTCTGCTTTTCATCTGTCCATATTGTCGGAAGTTTGACTTCTAAACTTCCTTCGATAATAATTGCTTATAAGCTGCAAGTGCTGAACGTAAGCCTGGTGATCGCCCTGCCGTCCCTGATTCGTGGCTTTATTCCATATATATATATATATGTAACCGGTGACGATTCCTGGGATGATTGTCCAACATCTATAACTTACCCTCTGGTAAACTAACAGTTTGCGAACTGGAAAATTGCCCAGTCGGAATAGTTGATTTACCCATTCAAAATGGTGGATCTTTCCATTGTTATGTAAGCGTTTACCAGAGGGTATAACATATATCTCTATCTATCCATAGATGTCCTTTTCCCATTGGTTGGTTGATTAATAGGGGGTTTGAACAACCCCCTTTAACAACAGGTTTGTTTGATGATAGATGGTATACCAAACCGGCCCCTCTGTTTTTACCAAAAGGACATTATTGTATATATCTCTATCTGCCTGGTGATGTTGTTCATATATGTTCGACACGTTTCACTTCCATCCCTTTCCATCGGGTTTGCAGTTCATTTCCATATGAAATCTGGACAGTAATGGTGAAGATATGAATCCATGGTGTTTTCCATCCCATATGCTCCATGGTGCTGGAATATTTACCTACCTTTACCCCAAAAAAATGCCCAGTTTTGTCGGTAAATATTCCAGCACCATGGAGCATTTGGGCATTATGAATTCCATGTGTTTTTCCAGCCATGGTTTCTTCGCAGAAACTCGAGGTACATGAATGCTGGCCGCCTGCCTCCAGGGCCGGGGTGACCCAGAATTCCTTCGCGAATTCTGAGAATTCATCGAAGAAAAAGCAGCAAAGATGGTGGTGCCAACTCAAGTTGGGATTTCTTTCAGTCAAAAATTGTTTTTTTGTGGTTGGAAAAAGTCACATGGGAATAGAAGCAAGATCTTTTCGATCTTTTCGGGTAAGAGAAATGCCATCTATATCCCATGACGGATCCTAACGGTGCTGCTATATATGGTGTGCCATGGATCCCATCAATATACCCCAGTCATTGTTAGCATATGTTGGATTGTAAATGGTTATAATTTCCATTTTTGTATATATTTGTTGGATTATAAACCAATGTTAGTTAACACCATTTTTCTACCAGCACCGTTAGGACCCGTCATGGGATATATATTGGGTGATCTACCCCTTCGGACTGCACCACGGATTCGTGGAGTCAATAAATCGACCGGGGTTTATGTGCACGATATGTGGGGCCCCCGTTGAGTCGATAACTAAGTTGGTGAACATAACCCCAATGCCACTATGGTTTATCATACGCAAATAACTATGTATATATATATACAGTACTCATGGGGTGAATCTAAACCGACATTCACATCACTTGGGGGCCCCACATTGTACCCTCTGGTAATGACTGTTGCAGTTTGCTATTGAAAATGGCCCATTTATTTCATTGATTTACCTATTCAGGATGGTGATTTTCCAGTTCGCTATGTAAACGTTTACCAGAGGGTATAGGAAACATTTTTTGGAGGATCCTGGCTGGCAACTCCAAGTGCTAGTCATCACGGTGCCTACATGACCAGTGGTAGAGCCTGGTAGAGTTGGTTGTACCAATCCCGGAAATTCTTACTGAAATTCTTACTGAAATTCTTGCTGCTAACCTGTGGCCCTGATGGAAAACCGATGGACCCATGCCCCGGAATGTTCTGGCTCGTTTTCCATCAAACAAAAAGCGGTTGCAGCCTCCATGGGGCCACAGAAGGGCCTGTGGGGCCACAGATTTTTGTTGGGTATGTGTGGTATCAAAACCATCTAATGTGGGTAAAACAATGTCATGTTTACCATCCCCCAGCCATCACCATTTTTATAGGTGGTATGTCTACCATTCCCAAATGGGTGGTTTATGGCATTGTTTTAATCACATTATATGATTATTGGATATTATTGGGCTAATTGACTTGACCACTTGCCTCATATCCATATTGAAGCCTACAGGATGGTGCCCCCCAGTGATGTGAAGGTTGGTTTACAACCCCCATGAAAAGTATAGGTATATCGGTATATCTACCATAAACCCTCCCGTGAAATTGGAGTTATGTGAACCCCAACTTAGCTAACGAACTGGAGTTCATATATGCTCTCTGGTAATTAATTTAACATAGCTATTGAAAATATGGCAATTTTGTTGGTGGATTTGGCCCATAGTTTTTGCTGGTGGACGACCCTTCTCTGGTTGGTGGTTTGGAACATGAATTTTATTTTTCCATATATTGGGAAGGATAATTCCAACTGAGTATATAATATTTTTCAGAGGGGTAGGTACCACCAACCAGTTCTGGAAGCCATGTGGAACTAAGGAAGAAATCACTTCTTCCGGAGGGAACGCGCTGTGTCAACGCCTTTTGGGGTTTGGAGGCGGCTCGTGGAATGGGAGGATGATCTATGAAGGTACCGGGGGATGAAAACATGGCATTTACCCGGCGATTTTCATGGGAAAGCCCGAGGTAGGGTTTTGAGCCATGGCCAATTCCAGATTAGTTGCTTTGTAAATGGTGTATGTTGATGTATGAAAAAAAAATGAATCGGCAAGATGGTGATTAACAAGTGATTCAATGGTAGTCTATTTTCAGATACCCTCTGGTAAACTAACATAACTATGGAAAATCACCATTTGTTTTTGGGTAAATCAACTATAAATGACCATTTTCAATAGCTATGTTTGTTTACCAGAGGGTAAACCCCTGTTCTTTCTGTGGGCTAACCATGGATTGAACCCTTTCCAATAGACTGCTCGGAGGTTCAAAAAAACTTGGCCTTTATCCAATAGAAACAATAAACGAATCGAAGGGTGGATATATCATTAACCATCATTAGCCATCATTTAATCATCGTTCACCATCTTTAACCATTGTTTAGTCATCTTTAACCATCATGTAACCATCTGGTTATTTAACATAGCCATGGAAAATCCCTTGTAAATGGAGGTTTTAATAGGAAAATCATCTATAAATGGGTTATTTTCCATGGCTATGTTAAATAACCATCATGTAACCATCATTTAATCATCAAATTTAGTCATCATTGCCATTCATCATTGCCTGGCCTTGGCCACCGATGTTTGGGATGCCAAAATCCATCGAAATCCATCAACAGCAATGGGACGTGGGAAGGACGCCAAGCAATCAATACAAGCAATGGAACATTTTAAGCTGGTTGGTGGTTTGGAACATTTCTTGTTTTTCCATATATTGAGAATTTCATCATCCCAACTGACTTTAACTCCATGATTTTTCAGAGGGGTAGGTATATCACCAACCAGTAAGCGTTGTAAGATCGTTAGAGATTGTGAAAGTTGCCTTTTGCCGTGGTGAATCTCGTTGGGAAATTGAAAAATACGACGGTGTTGCATGGACCAAAAAGCACATTGAAAATTCGGGATTCTACGGCAATTCCATGTTTGATTTACAGTATATTCACATGGAATATTCCATCATTAACCATCATTAACCATCATTAACCGTCAGTAACCATCAGTAACCATCATTGATCTGGTAGCCATCGTCAGTCATAGATGTTGGTCATCAAAGATGTTGAAAATCTCAAGGTTCTTCAGGATTCATGATCCCAACGAACCAAAAAAAGACACGTGCCGATCGTCGAACAAATGCTTCGGGTGTCAACCGTGCACTGTTTGGTAGCTTAAAATAGTCTTTCGTTGGAAATCAGAGAACAATCAGATTGATGGTTAGAACATGTTATTTCCTTACAATCAGGAGATGAATAAGATTGCTGGTTAGCATAGCGTATCCCCATGTTTCTTTGATCTCCCCATGTGATATCCATCTTCAGGGTGCCACCAGCCGTTGCCATTGCCAGGCCCGGCACATTGCATTGACAGAAGGCGAGGAGTACTGGCCACAGGGCTGTTTGACCTTGCAGGGGCTCTGAGTTGGACCAAGTCGGACCAAGTTGGACGTGGAGCATGGGTCAAAACCAATTCATGTGGGAAAAACATGGAAAAACATGTTAAGATTATATCAATATCTGTAATAATGGTTCATTCTATGGTTAATTCTATGGTTAATAATGGTGAATTCTGGTTAATCATGGTCAACAATTGGAATAATGTGGGTAAAACAATGCCATAAACCACCCATGACTGGGAATGGTTTCTACATGTTTACACCCATAGAAATGGTGTTTTTCCTGGGGGATGGTAAACATGACAGCAAGTTCTACCCACATTGTTACTGTACGGTTTTTTTAGGAAGAACCATCCATTTCACCCGGTTTTTGACCAACCAGACGGGGGATATACCCGGGATTTCTGATGGAATGTGCACGATATGTGGGGCCCCCGTTCGAGAACGCTAAGTTGGGGTTCACCTAACTTCAATATCTATGGTTTATGATACCTATAACTATAGTTTTCATGGGATTTACAAACCAACAAACATCACTGGGGGGCCCACATTGCAACCATATGACATGAGTTTGTCGGAGAATGGTGTAAATTCCCCTTTTTTGTCAACTGAGAAGTGACAAAATATGATTGGCCATGAAGTTTGGGGTTACTGTACCTTATTTTCAGGCAAACCCATGTTACAAATTGTGGGTACTGGGATAATTTCATGGAGTTGTTTGCCATAAAATGATATCAATAGTGGTGTGTTTATAACCTGCTAAGCATTGAGTTCTCTGCCGGGTACCTGAGATTGGCAGAAGGTAACCTTCAAACATGGCAATGGAAAATGCCATAGACGATGTTAACAAAATTCAAGGTCAACCTTGGATGGGTCATTGGGATTATCTACGTTCACTATCTAAGAATTGGTCATTTTTTGCAGGGCATCTGGCTGATTGGTCATGTTTCCTATTGAAAATCTCCATTAATAGATTTTATGAGGATTTACCCATTAAAGATGGTGATTTTCCAGGGTATCTAAGATTGACCATGAATTAAATGTGTTCATTTCGAGGGGATTTTAAGCACCAACCCAGTGGACACAACGGCCCAACTGCTTCGCGACACCGCGACCTATGCCTTGACCCAGTACTGGATTCGATCAAGTCATGGGTTTTTTTCCAGGACAAGTTACCACCAAGTTACCGGAAACCACAGGAAACCCCTATATATATGACTCATTTATTTATTTATTTATTTATTATTTATTATTATTTATTATTATTTATTATTTTTATTTATTATTATTACTATTTATTATTTATTATTATTTATTTATTATTATTATTTATTTATTATTATCATTTAATTATGACTATTATGATCTATTATTATTACTATTATGATTGTTCTTGATTAAGATATAGAACATGGGCACAGCCCGGTTTCCATGTTCCAACCAGGTCCGAGGGCTGCTTGAAGTCAGGCTGGGAACAGCCCTCGGAAGAGGCGCGAGCCCGGGGCCGGCGCGAGCCCGGGGCCGGCGCGAGCCCCACCCATCTGGATGACCTCGTCGTGACCCCCATGGGTTTCAATGCGAAGGTTTCATGCTATTGGCATATATTCAATTTTCAAACAGAAGCAAAAAAGCATATGTAATGTTGACATTAAAAATACACACCCAGAAATGAAACCTTGGTTCAGTATTGGATCTTCGTTTACCATATTTTTGGCCATATTTTGGGGGGATATTCCCTGAAACATAGGCCTGAAAAATAGGCCTTATATATGGTAGGTACCTCCAATTTAGGTTCCTGAAATTCCCATTGATGAATGGATAGAATGGGAATATACTGGGATAGAATGGGATGACTAGTAAGGGGGGAAGCATGAAATGGCCTCTATTTTAGCTATTTTCTGGTGAGTGAATTAGAAGAATTCAGCCAGGTCAGTGGTAATGTGGGTAAGAAACCGGCATTGCATGATAGTTTTGAACAGAAACCATAGTTTCTAACCACAGGGGAATAGAAGGCCACTAAATACAATGTCAGAATCAATGTGAGACAAAATGCCAGAGAGAAAGTCACAATATATGTCACCTAGCCTGTCAGACAGAATGCCAGATAGAATACCAGATCGCATGTCACAAAGAATGTCATGAAAAATGTCACGTAGACTGCCAATGAATTCCCCTGATTTTTCATGTCTGAATATATATGTGTGAGATAGGATGTCAGAATGTAGCAAAAACTGGTTGGTGGTTTGGAACATTTTTGATTTTTCCATAATACATGGGACAATCCTTCCCATTGACTAACATTTTTCAAGATGGTTGAAACCACCAACCAGAAAAATATCGGATTGAAAGTCAGACTATTTGTGAGATGGAATGTCGGCTACAACAAGTCGTCACACAAGAGGCCACCGGAAGCGCATTGGCGCAAGCTGTTTGGCGTACGTTAACCGCTGGTGGTGATGCTACCATCTTCGAAAGGGAAACCAACCCTACAATGTGGCCCCCCCCCAGTGATGTGAACCTTGGTTTAGATTCACCCCATGAAAACTCGTTCGTTATTTGCGTATCATTTTCACCATAGTGATATTGGAGTTAACCATAGTTATAAGTATAATAAACCATAATAAACCATAATAAACCATAGTGACATTGGGGTTATAAGTATAATACACCATATTAAACCATAGTGAGATAGGAGTTTAATGTGAAGCCCAACTGTCTACGCGATTTCGATTTCACGGGGCCCCACATCTAGTACCGAATTTACCAAAGGATCACCTCCTGGTTATGACATTCACAGGGCTAGCCATGGGAAATGACAAATTTTTAGCTAGGTAAACCTCTATAAATGGGCCATGTTCCCATAGAAATAGATGGTTTGGCCCACTTATCGAAATAGATGGTTTACCGAACTTAATGAATGTCATAACCAGAGGGTAAATCAGATGGACCTCTTGCAACGACCGACCAAATAGAAAGTAGGTGGACCCCGACCCCCGGCGATACCAAACGCGCACATCAAGTCATAATGCAACTCGAATCGCAAGTTGTTTGTCATGTGCACTTGCTGCTACTGTAGATCATGGTGTTTGGTTGGGTGTATATATATATAATGGTGATTGACAAACAATAGTGGTAAATGATGATGATGATGGTGATGATGATGATGATGATGCTGATGATGATGATGATGATGGTGATGATGATGATGATGCTGATGATGATGATGTTGATGATGATGATGTTGATGATGATGATGATGTTGATGATGATGATGATGATGATGCACCAATGGCGTTTGGCTGTGATCAATCTTCCATAAGAATGTTGGAGAACCTCGTCGATGCCGCGATAGTGCGCGATAGTGAAAAAAATGCAATCGCAGACTCTGGATAAAGTAGTTGTGTCATGTTCCTGAATATGAAATGTCCTCGAATGCAAAGATCGCCATTTCACCATCGCGAAATAACAATTTTGATTGTCATGGTCGAATTGAAACCACACGGCCGGAGAGTCTGGAAGTGTCGCCAAGGAAATGAAGTACCCAACTCTCCTGTTCGACCGCCCTCTATGTTTTCCTCAAAGGGCAGACAGGACATCATTGATTTGGAAGTCCTGTGGACCCGACAGCTAGACCAAAAGTGTTGATTGGTAAACTGATGTCACAGGGAACCAGGGTTCGCCCGGTCCGGTCCGGGTCGGGTGCGCGTGTTCGGGTCGGGTCCGGGCCGGTCCGGGTTCTGGACCGGGTTCTGTCGGCAGTCATGGCAATCAATACAAAACGTGCTTGTCAGATCCTACCACAGCCCCGAAAAGCAAAGAATTGCTCCAAAAGCTCGTTTTCGGGGCTGTGGACGGAATTCCAAAAGCAGCCAATGAATACAAAACGTGCTTGTCAGATCCTACCACAGCCCCGAAAAGCAAAGAATTGCTCCAAAAGCTCGTTTTCGGGGCTGTGGACGGAATTCCAAAAGCAGCCAATGAATACAAAACGTGCTTGTCAGATCCTACCACAGCCCCGAAAAGCAAAGAATTGCTCCAAAAGCTCGTTTTCGGGGCTGTGGACGGAATTCCAAAAGCAGCCAATGAATACAAAACGTGCTTGTCAGATCCTACCACAGCCCCGAAAAGCAAAGAATTGCTCCAAAAGCTCGTTTTCGAGGCTGTGGACGGAATTCCAAAAGCAGCCAATGAATACAAAATGTGCTTGTCAGATCCTACCACAGCCCCGAGAAGCACATCGGTTTCTGAATAATTCTCATGTTGGTTGAGGCCTCCAATGTCTCCCTCATGAGAGAATGTCAGCATACATGTTCAAGTATCAACCCAAGAGACTGACAGAATGTGTGTCCGGCAGAATGCCAGAAACAATACCTAAGAAAATGCTAGAATATTTGTCAGATAGATTGTCACTTGGTACGGATCACTCGAAGAATACATGTCGAAGTTTGATTTTCATGCCAAGCATGCATCGAGGGCTGTGTAAAAATTATCAGAACGTCACTGGAAGACTCAATTGGGTGTAGCAAAGACTCCACTGGATAGACTCACCGTCGACCGGATGCCTCAGGGACACTGTCAACAATGAGAGGTTAAACAGGGACTGCTTGGATGAAACACTTGCTCATGCCGTGCCTTTTTTTGTAGTTACCTTTTTGTATTCTTGAATACTTAATGGGTATTATCAAGTGCATTGGTCCTGGCGGGACATGTGCGGGACGGAGATGTGGAACGTTTAGCTTACGCAGAAAAATGGATGTGCTTTGACGTATTTGTTTGTGCCCATAGCCGTCTAGGGTGGGGAAGCCTGACGGCGAGACGCGAGCCATGCGGCTTGCTTTACCTAAAGTGCCATGCGGCCTTGCGGTGGCAGGTAGGTGGGAGGACCCCTTGAAGTCAGCCCCTGCGACGAAGGGAAAACTCATTGGTCGAGGAACATTTGGTAGTGTACATACCTTGATGCAGAATGGCAGCAGCAATAAGGCAGTCAAGCTGGTGCACTGTCTTTCGACCGCTGACCCCAGGGCACTTTGGAACGAAGCCCATGCCTTGCGAACATTGCAGGGCCATGACAACGTCGTCAAATTAGATGACGTTTTCAGTCATGTCCGGGATACGCACGCACTCTACGCCATTGTGATGGAGAAATGCTTCACCAACTTGGCATCATCCATAGATCCGCCGTTTTCTGTAGGGCTGAGCTGAAATGAGATTCAATGTGTTTCAATGTTTCATTGCTGGCCTACACCAGAAATATCACCGTATATCATATCACCAAAAAATATGTAAATATGGTACTGATGACTAATATATGGTGATATATCACCAGATATGATCACCATTACTGATTGATCACATAGAAAATCATCAATCTCCACAACTCAGCATCTCTTTTTTTCACCAGAGTGATGGATCCAGGATTCCAAGGGAAGGGATTTCGCCGGATGGTCCCAGTGAAATTTAGGGGTCAAAAGCCTGGTACATTGGTGACCAAAATAGGTGGTTCATAGATGGTAATTCCCCCAGTCCTATGGTAGCCATAGCTTTTAAGCCATCCCCATTTCATCAAATTTCCATAAATGTCGTGGAGTTTGACTGATATGAATATAATTACTAATATTAATTAATTACCAATAAATATCCCATTACATTTTATTCAAGTGGATAATCCATGAAAATATCCATCAACGATCATTACTATGAAGATGATCCTGATCAATCAAAACCACTCCATCTCCCCGTAATCGCCAGAGATCACCTGAAATCAACACAAATCATCAAGAACATTCCATAAATCTGAATAAATTATAACGACCTCACTGCGACCTCACTGGAATCATGGTTAATAAGGGAAATCGTCCCCAAATGGCCTTAATTAAAGTTAGTGAATTATTCTTATTGACCCAGATACATTTCTCAAATGGGAACCATGTTTTCTATTTTTTTCGTATTCATAGGGAACACTCTGAAGAAGAACCTGTCTCATTGAATTTGATTGAATTTGTATGTTGATCCAAAATCATCCAAGTCTTTCTTGCGCACCTCGAGAGAGAATCACGATACATGAATCGGCAGAAATCGGGATAAGTCAGCGAAAATCTCCACAATCACTATAAAAATATCCAAAAGGAAAAAGAACACAAAGAACTAGGTCAATCTTACATAGGTACTTTAATCCTAACTAGTCTTTTGGTATTAATGGGAATATCTACGTTCATCAGCAAAGAATTTAATTTTTTGCAGGGTATCTAGGATTGGCAATGAGAAGATCATGAAAAAACTGGGATAATCACCATAATATGGGTAAAACAATGTCATAAGCCACCCTTATTTGGGAATGGTAAACATACCACCTTTGAAAATGGTGATGACTGGGGGATGGTAAACATGACATTGTTTTACCCACGCGAATAGATATTCGTATACAATTTTTGTTATCATTCATAATTTTGTCGGTTGTGTAATATTCTTGATTGTTGATTTATTGTTCAAATATATTCTTTTTTCTACAGGATGGGGCCCTCCAGTTATAAGTTGTTTTATAAACCATTATAACCCCCATTAACCATAGATGTATCTACCACAAACCATAGAATTCAGCCACTTATAAGGCAACTTAGCTATCTTGGGGGCCCCATCCTGTAATGATTGATTAAATCACCATTAAAGATCATCACCATTTGGACCACGGAAGAAGTCCGTGGTTCCTGGCACAGGGCCGTAGTGGGCACTGGCGTGTCTTTGCGGCGCGACCCTTCGAAGCCAATGAGCTGGTGGAGGTGAGGGAAGCTTCGGGTCGTGGCGCATGGTTGTACCCCCATGGGTCTCAATGGAAATATAGTGGCTGGCTGGTGGTTTGGAACATTTTTCCATTCAGTTGGGAATGGAAAATCATCCCAACTGACTTTAACTCCATGATTTTTCAGAGGGGTAGGTCAACCACCAACCAGGATAGAATGGGAATATTAATGGGATATGATATGCTGGGATGTAGATGGGGATTTCACGGGATCCCCCGGTATATTTTTGGATAATAAGATACATATGAATTACTAGGGATATCTAGGGATATTATCTTCTATGGCCATTTGATAGCGCAGATTAATACATTGTTTGAGCCATTGTAAAAATAGCCTGGTTGGTTGGTTAACTTGTTGGGACTTATACTACCTACTTTTTTGGGGGATGTTCATGATAGTAGGGAACCCGTTTTCAAGCAACTAGTATTCCATGAGATGGGAAAACTGTGTATTTTTCATGGATCATCTAGATATATTAATATTGATATATATATATATATTGATTTATATTTATGAATATCTTTGCTGAGTTGGCTTTGAGTGGTACCCCTTTGGTAATTTAACATAGCCATGGAAACTGGCCCATTCATAGATGATTTACTGTACTTATTTTTAAAATGGATAACTTTTTATAGCTATGTTAAATTGCCAAAGAGTAACATAGCTATAGAAAAAGGACTATTTAGTTCGTGGATTTACCTATTAAACACGGTGATTTTCCAGTTCGCAATGTTAGTTTATCAGAGGCTAAGTGAGCTGCACCGTTTACATGGCAAGTTCATTACTAGACTTTCAAGCCAGCGCCCATGACAGTGTCATCAATCCCAAGTAGATTGGGACCCAGCATGCCAGTGCCATGGGAAAGTTTAGGACCCACATAGTATACTTTATATATACTTTTTATCAAGGAGTTCAAATCTTTCGTTTCCGTCAAACAAGTTCACTAAAGGGCGACACGCATCGCATGACCGCAGAGGGTTCACTTTTCCGACTGATTCTCCTAGAAATTTGTGTTGGGACATACAAACGCACAGATGTACCAAGGTAATAAAACACTGTGCCTGCGCAGTGAAATGAGCCCCCTTAGGACGTTAACCAATCCATTCTGGGCAAGCCCCTTGATCCTGCCCGCAAAAATACCACCTGGTAATAATACAATGTGGGGCCCCCGTTCGATAGCTACAGTAAGTTGGTGAACATAACTCCAACAACTATGGCTTAATACTTGTAACATCTTATAACTACGTATAGTATTCATGGGGTTTATAAACCAACGTTCATATCACTGGGGGGCCTCACATTGTATGATTATGAATAATCCCTTCTCCCTAATACTAAACCCCCCCTATTAATAAACACGGCAGGTAGTTTTTATTATTAGGGTGGTATTTATTATTAGGGAACCCTATTAATACAATTAAACCCTTAATAATAATAAAAAAATCCGATTTCAAAATCAATTAAATTTCTTTATATAACGCAATTAAAATATTGTCAAAAATTGGCTTTCGAAGATTAAAAGCCCTAATATAAAAAACTAAAAAAAATCGGACGGACCCTAATAACAACACCCCGGGGTTGACTAGTTTTTAGTATTGGGGGGGAAACCCACAAATGGTAGCTTTATTTTGGATTGTTTTCTAAAGGGGATCAATTAAAAGTCAAATTGGCCAATCTGAAATTTTCTGAAATTGGAGATGGACCCCTGTTTTTTAGTATTGTGGGGGGTTTAGTAATAGGGAGAAGTGATTAATGGATCACAATGGTGCCCCGTGCTGGTCATGGCACTGGATCCGAAACAGCAGTTCTGCCGGGCTGCTGCGACCCGCGAGGTTACCAACTTGTAGCTGGGCACCTTGTAGACATCTAGATGTGATGTGTATCCTTTACACGTCTCATCATACACTATCAATGTATCTTAAACATCTTAAACTTTTTTACTGATGTGTATGTGTATGTATATATATATATATTATATGTGCATATATTTGGTATATATCGGTAAATGGAAACCCCAAATCAGAAAACCATTGCATAGCACCACAGGGCCAAGGTCAACCACGGCATATGCAAACATGGTTTCATGAAGCCGCATACAAGCTAACTCGCAAACAGGTGCAGGTTGAAGAGGGCATTTCTGGCATTTCTGTGAGCCATAAGGTGTTGGAGACAGGTTTCTGGATGTTCCTCTGGGTAAATTATAACGACTTCACTGCGACCTCACTGGAAATCATGGTTTTTACAGGGAAATCATCCCCAAATGGGCCGCAAGATTCAGGTTAGTGAATTATTATAATTTACCCAGAGGTATGTTTTCGGTACGTTTTACAAATTCTATCTGCCACTTCGGTCCAGTGCGATCAGCCAAGTTATGGGTTGCTGGCAGCCAAGGACCCTTCTTGGGGTTTCTCTGTGCAATTCCTGATAAATTACCCAAAATTGAATAGACACCTTTGGAAACTGGCTGAAAATTTCGGGTTGTCTTTTTCGTTTTTGGTCAAATTCGCTTTCTTCCCAATCTGCAGGTTTGCCCTTTGGTGGAGGCAGGGGACCCGGAAGAGTTGGTGGGATCAAAAATCTCCACTCATTATACATCAATATTACATCAATATATCATGATTAATGGTGGTGAATGGTGGAATAGCCTCTGGTGAATCATTTAAGTGATGGTCCATCGATGGTCAATAATGTCAACCCTGGATTGATAAACCCCGTTTACGGCTGTGACTAATTTGGAGGGTACCATAAAAAAGTATCAGATAATGACTATTGGAGGAGTACCCCCTAATTAATAAACCATGGTGTAGTATCATCCGGGGTTGACATTAAGTTCCCATCAAAATCCATTTTGGTTGCTTCAAATCTCTCTGGAAAATCTCCATTCGGAGGTGATTGGATCACTTTACATGATATCTCCAGCATATGCCCATCATATTTCCCGAAAATCACCCATCTGGGTCAACCTTGGTTAGATACTTTGGTATTTTGTGGTATTTTGTGGTAAAATTCAATAAAATTCATACATTTACCAGCTGAAAATGAGATTTTTTTATGTGCGTGTACCAGGTTTCAGTAGAAGATTCACCATGTCAACAGGTTGAGTCCCAGAAATTTCTGTCACCGAATGCCCATGGCAAGGTGGACTTGGAGACATGCATCGCATGCTTTCAGCTCCGGATGAATGTGGTGGAAACTCCTGCGGATGAGGACGCGAGAAAAATGAGATGAAAATAGATGGAAATGGATGGGTTGTCTGAAAGTTTAAAATCCCAAAGTGCCATGGTTTATTCTCCTCCATTTTGAGACAAAGCCATGGTTGCAAGAGGATTTTCCAGATCGAATGGCCATGTTGGGGTTCCATGGTGTTTGGTGAACTGGGAAATACCCTATGGTAAACTAATATAAGTATGGAAAATCACCATTATTCATAGATAAATTATCTATACATGGTCCATTTTCAATCGCTAGGTTAGTTTACCAGAAGGCAATTGGGATTTAATGGGTATCTATTCATTGGGATTCTGTTATCAAGAAAAAAATATATTGGTTGTGCAGGAGTGGTGCTGTTGTTTTGTCAAGTGCGTATTTTTAGATGGACTAAGTACCCTCCGGTAATCTAAAATGGCCATGAAAAATCCCTGGGTGGGTTCGATGATTTTCCAATGCCACGTTTGATTGCTGGAGGATACATGCAATATTTGATAATTTGGTTAATCATGATTAAAACATCTGTCAGGATCACATCTTGTGACCGTACTTGATGTGTGATTGTTGGCGGATTCCAAGTGCACACGAGAATTTACATAGTTAAATATCTGTTGATCAGGAGCCGGTTCCATTTCAGCACATGGGCTGTGTTCATTAAGACCATTGAGATATATTAAGATCAAAGTTTCAACAGATTGGTTTTCATGAGAAAATCGACCGGAAACCCCTACTTTTTCACCCCCAAATCTGCGTTTTTCAGTTGCAGAGGATGCTGCCTACACCGGCAAGACTGGAAAGGTCAAGTCCTATGCGCTCCAGCTGCAAGATTGGCGACTGGACATTGGACTCAGTGGTTTTTGAAAAATGAAGGGAAAGTCATAACGAGATATACTGAGGAGATCATCGAAACGATGGGTTTAAAGACATGAGCCTTTTTACATATGGTGTAATGAGACATTCTATTTTACATATGGTTTTTACTGAGGAAATCATCGAAAACACCGAAGGTTTATGGTATGAAGATAGGAACAAATGGGTATAAACATATGAACTTTGTGTTTTTTTTTCTGGTTTTAGATGGTACGTCAGTCCTGAAATTCCCACAAGGTGCCCTTGGGCTATGGCATGCTCTATCAGCAGTCCATTGAGCTGCCCGACGCCGCAAACTTAGTCACCGGAGCAGGCAGATGGTTACGACCAAACGTCGCACTTGAAATCAACAGGAAATTCAGGATCCAATAGATCATAGAATTGGATGATGGGAAAATTTACAGGAAAACCCTATATTTGATGGTAAAAACCATGGTTTCCTGTAGATTTTCCCTTAAACCAATCCTTTGAATAGATCCAATACATGGACTGGTTGGTGGTTTGGAACATTTTTTTCAGAGGAGTTGAAACCACCAACCAGTGGAGGTACGTAGTGAGTACCATATTTCTGGCCATATGTTGCCTGGATCTTCCCCGAAATTCAGGCCGAAAAACTGGGCCTGAGATATATGGCTCCTGAGATGGCCAGTGATTTTTCAGGGGAGTTTCTCTTGGGGGATCCCCAAGTCACCATATGTTTCAATATGTTTCAATGTGAAATGTGTGATCCATGACTTGGATGATTTGGGGTACCAGTTTAGGAAACCCTCGAGGACCCTCCTGTGTCCTCGTGGCTTCGGTTCGGGGATGTCCCACCCATAGTTGATTCCCGAAGTCTACTTGTAAATCGCTATATTCTCCAGGTGGTTTCAAACATTTTTTCCATAATATTTAAGGGCTGCCGCCCCTGCCGCCGACCCCGGTAAAGAATCGGGGATTGCTGGTGAAACAGGCAAGCTGTGTGACGAGAAACTTTGGCAAATGCATTATCACATGCAGGATCATGCACGAAGGGCTATGTGCGTAACTGGTGCAGCTTTCGGATCAATTGCAGTAAGGTGCTGGCTGCATGACGAGACAGTTGAATTAGAAGCTTACTCTGAACCCAACAACACATCTATGTGCATATGGGCCAAGAGACATAAGACCAAATTGCCAAAAGCTATCATGACAAGAAAGCTCCAGCTTAGTTGGTGGTATAAGATAGCTACACAACTTTTTTTTGGATTGAAGCTATTCTAGTTGGACTGCAGCAACGAGAGCTGAGAGCTACGAAATATGGCCCGTTCGAAATGATGGGACACGCCCAAAAGATTATAGAAAAAGCAGAGAAGAAAGTCTAACATTTTAGCTTTTTTCCTGTGTAACATATGGTGTAATCCACCCGGCGCAAACCATGCCGGCGCAGCTGCCAGCAGCCAGACACCTTTTTTAAAACACAGCCGAAACAGCAAAACACCACCCAATTTCGTGCCGAACATGACGGAAAATCAATCACAATATTAAGTTTTCGGGGGCCGAAACGTCCCTTCTGAAATCCTACTAGAATCCAATTTTGTCCAATTTTGATCTCTAATTTTGACTGCTGCTGCTACCTATAATAAAGCAAGAAACCAGCAGCCAGACACCTTTTGTAAAACACAGCCGAAACAGCAAAACACCACCTAATTTCGTGACGAACATAACGCAAAATCAATCACAATAATAGGTTTTCGGGGGCCGAAACGTCCCTTCTGAAATCCTACTAGAAATCCAATTTTGTCCAATAGAAATCTAATTTTAGTCAAATTTGATCTCTAATTTTGATTGCTGCTGCTGCCTCTAATAAAGCGAGAAACCAGCAGCCAGACACCTTTTTTAAAACACAGCCGAAACAGCAAAACACCACCCAATTTCGTGCCGAACATGACGGAAAATCAATCACAATATTAAGTTTTCGGGGGCCGAAACGTCCCTTCTGAAATCCTACTAGAATCCAATTTTGTCCAATTTTGATCTCTAATTTTGACTGCTGCTGCTACCTATAATAAAGCAAGAAACCAGCAGCCAGACACCTTTTGTAAAACACAACCGAAACAGCAAAACACCACCTAATTTCGTGCCGAACATAACGCAAAATCAATCACAATAATAGGTTTTCGGGGGCCGAAACGTCCCTTCTGAAATCCTACTAGAAATCCAATTTTGTCCAATAGAAATCTAATTTTAGTCAAATTTGATTGATCGCTAATTTTGATTGCTGCTGCTACCCTCTAATAAAGCAAGAAACCAGCAGCCAGACACCTTTTTTAAAACACAGCCGAAACAGCAAAACACCACCCAATTTCGTGCCGAACATGACGGAAAATCAATCACAATATTAAGTTTTCGGGGGCCGAAACGTCCCTTCTGAACTCCTACTAGAAATCCAATTTTATCCAATTTTGATCTCTAATTTTGACTGCTGCTGCTGCCTATAATAAAGCAAGAAACCAGCAGCCAGACACCTTTTTTAAAACACAGCCGAAACAGCAAAACACCACCTAATTTCCTGCCGAACATGACGCAAAATCAATCACAAGAATAGGTTTTCGGGGGCCGAAACGTCCCTTCTGAAATCCTACTAGAAATCCAACTTTGTCCAATAGAAATCTAATTTTGTCCAATTTGATCTCTAATTTTGATTGCTGCTACTGCCTCTAATAAAGTAAGAAACCAGCAGCCAGACACCTAATTTCGTGCCGAACATGACGCAAAATCAATCACAATAATATACCAATGTTTATAGTTTTCGACCAATGTTTATACCACTGTTTGTTGCTGCTGTTGCCTCTAATAAAGCGAGAAACCAGCAGCCAGACACCTTTTTTAAAACACAGCCGAAACAGCAAAACACCACCCAATTTCGTGCCGAACATGACGGAAAATCAATCACAATATTAAGTTTTCGGGGGCCGAAACGTCCCTTCTGAAATCCTACTAGAATCCAATTTTGTCCAATTTTGATCTCTAATTTTGACTGCTGCTGCTACCTATAATAAAGCAAGAAACCAGCAGCCAGACACCTTTTGTAAAACACAGCCGAAACAGCAAAACACCACCTAATTTCGTGCCGAACATAACGCAAAATCAATCACAATAATAGGTTTTCGGGGGCCGAAACGTCCCTTCTGAAATCCTACTAGAAATCCAATTTTGTCCAATAGAAATCTAATTTTAGTCAAATTTGATTGATCTCTAATTTTGATTGCTGCTGCTGCCTCTAATAAAGCAAGAAACCAGCAGCCAGACACCTTTTTTAAAACACAGCCGAAACAGCAAAACACCACCCAATTTCGTGCCGAACATGACGGAAAATCAATCACAATATTAGGTTTTCGGGGGCCGAAACGTCCCTTCTGAACTCCTACTAGAAATCCAATTTTGTCCAATAGAAATCTAATTTTAATCAAATTTGATCTCTAATTTTGATTGCTGCTGCTGCCTCTAATAAAGCGAGAAACCAGCAGCCAGACACCTTTTTTAAAACACAGCCGAAACAGCAAAACACCACCCAATTTCGTGCCGAACATGACGGAAAATCAATCACAATATTAAGTTTTCGGGGGCCGAAACGTCCCTTCTGAAATCCTACTAGAATCTAATTTTGTCCAATTTTGATCTCTAATTTTGACTGCTGCTGCTACCTATAATAAAGCAAGAAACCAGCAGCCAGACACCTTTTGTAAAACACAGCCGAAACAGCAAAACACCACCTAATTTCGTGACGAACATAACGCAAAATCAATCACAATAATAGGTTTTTGGGGGCCGAAACGTCCCTTCTGAAATCCTACTAGAAATCCAATTTTGTCCAATAGAAATCTAATTTTAGTCAAATTTGATCTCTAATTTTTTTTGATTGCTGCTGCTGCCTCTAATAAAGCGAGAAACTAGCAGCCAGACACCTTTTTTAAAACACAGCCGAAACAGCAAAACACCACCTAATTTCGTGCCGAACATGACGGAAAATCAATCACAATATTAAGTTTTCGGGGGCCGAAACGTCCCTTCTGAAATCCTACTAGAAATCCAATTTTGTCCAATTTTGATCTCTAATTTTGACTGCTGCTGCTACCTATAATAAAGCAAGAAACCAGCAGCCAGACACCTTTTGTAAAACACAACCGAAACAGCAAAACACCACCCTAATTTCGTGCCGAACATAACGCAAAATCAATCACAATAATAGGTTTTCGGGGGCCGAAACGTCCCTTCTGAAATCCTACTAGAAATCCAATTTTGTCCAATAGAAATCTAATTTTAGTCAAATTTGATTGATCGCTAATTTTGATTGCTGCTGCTACCTCTAATAAAGCAAGAAACCAGCAGCCAGACACCTTTTTTAAAACACAGCCGAAACAGCAAAACACCACCCAATTTCGTGCCGAACATGACGGAAAATCAATCACAATATTAGGTTTTCGGGGGCCGAAACGTCCCTTCTGAACTCCTACTAGAAATCCAATTTTGTCCAATTTTGATCTCTAATTTTGACTGCTGCTGCTGCCTATAATAAAGCAAGAAACCAGCAGCCAGACACCTTTTTTAAAACACAGCCGAAACAGCAAAACACCACCTAATTTCCTGCCGAACATGACGCAAAATCAATCACAAGAATAGGTTTTCGGGGGCCGAAACGTCCCTTCTGAAATCCTACTAGAAATCCAACTTTGTCCAATAGAAATCTAATTTTGTCCAATTTGATCTCTAATTTTGATTGCTGCTACTGCCTCTAATAAAGTAAGAAACCAGCAGCCAGACACCTAATTTCGTGCCGAACATGACGCAAAATCAATCACAATAATATACCAATGTTTATAGTTTTCGACCAATGTTTATACCACTGTTTGTTGCTGCTGTTGCCTCTAATAAAGCGAGAAACCAGCAGCCAGACACCTTTTTTAAAACACAGCCGAAACAGCAAAACACAACCCAATTTCGTGCCGAACATGACGGAAAATCAATCACAATATTAAGTTTTCGGGGGCCGAAACGTCCCTTCTGAAATCCTACTAGAATCCAATTTTGTCCAATTTTGATCTCTAATTTTGACTGCTGCTGCTACCTCTAATAAAGCAAGAAACCAGCAGCCAGACACCTTTTGTAAAACACAGCCGAAACAGCAAAACACCACCTAATTTCGTGCCGAACATAACGCAAAATCAATCACAATAATAGGTTTTCGGGGGCCGAAACGTCCCTTCTGAAATCCTACTAGAAATCCAATTTTGTCCAATAGAAATCTAATTAGTCAAATTTGATTGATGT